CTTCATGGGGTTACTTTGGGGGTGCTGATAAGCAGAGCTGTGCCACGTGGCCCAGCCTTTGCTTCACTGCAGAGCAGGATAACAACCACTGCACCCAGTCCCATCCCTCCTACAGAGGCAGTGTGTTCCCTGCTGGGGTGTCCCCTGGGCTGTGGGCTCCAAGCCTGGCAGTGGGGGCCCCAGCCCTGCTGAGTCACACCAAGGCCATGGCCAGGCTGGAGGAACCACTGCAGGCTGTATAGGAGACTGGGAGCCCCAGCTGGGAGCTGACCACACGGTGTGCCCCAGCCTGTGGGCTGGAGCATGATTCACCTTCCCTGGGCAAGGAGCAGGGAGATCCTCAGGGCGCTCAGAGTGGTGTTGATCCCAGGGGCAGCACCCTGTGCCCTGTCCTGGGCAGAGCAGGGTTGGCGCTGTCAGACCTGAGGGAGCTCAGCCTGTGCTTCCTCCCAGTGCTGCCAGCACAAAGGGCTCCAGCTGCTCGGCGGGACCTGGCCACACTGATGCTGTGTGATCCATTGTGGCTGCATGGGCTGAGCCCAGCTCCCACAGCACAGCTGGGTCCAGCTGCAAGGGCTCCAGCCATGCTGAGGAGAGCCCCAGAGCTGAGAGCCAGCATCCCTTGCTGCCCAGGCCATCAGGAAAGGCTGCAGCCAGTGTAATCAGTGCCCAGCAGCCACCACTGCGGGAGCCCAGGGCAGCCAGACAGGCTTGATGATAATTGTGCTTCCTGCCAGCACAGCCAGGTCTGCAGATGGGCTCCTGCTGGTGTGGGCAGCACCACTGGGTTTGTACATCCCAGTGCTGGCAGCTCACCTGGAGGTGCAAGGCTCTAGAGAGGGAGAGGTGCCTTTGAGGGGCAACACACCAAATAGGCAGCCATGGGTGAGGTGTTCTGCCCTGTTTTCCCACCCCTTTGCCCAGTCTCCTCAACAGCTCTTGCCATGGCAGGGCAGTGATGCCCATTCAAGGCACCGGGTTGGCACAGGGCTCTGCTGCTGTGTGGAGTCCTCAGGGTTTTGGTGAGGACAGAGATGTCATGTCCCAGCCCAGACCTGGCTGCCAGAGGTCCCAGGCTCAGCCATCATGGAGCTGGGAGCAGCCATGTGGCAGTGAATGGGCACAATGCTGCTCCTGCCTCAGTGTCCCTTCCTCTCCCCTGCAGGTGGCCTGGCTGGAGGGATCGAGATCTGCATCACATTCCCCACCGAGTACGTGAAGACTCAGCTGCAGCTGGATGAGAAGGCAAACCCTCCCCGCTACAAGGGCATTGGTGAGCAGCCCCTCGCTGGGTTTGGGGCTGCTGGGGGGGCCTGGCTGGTGCTGGGGGGGCCTGGCTGGTGCTGGGGGGCCTGGCTGGTGCTGGGGTTTGGCAGGGCAGGGCTGGGTGGTGCTCGGCGTGGCGGGTGACGGCGGCCGCGCTGTGCTCTGCCGCAGGGGACTGTGTGAAGCAGACTGTCCGTGACCATGGCATCCGGGGGCTGTACCGGGGGCTCAGCTCGCTGCTGTACGGCTCCATCCCCAAGGCTGCTGTCAGGTACGTGCCCCCATGGCAAGGGGTGAGTGGGAGGGGACCCCCAACAGCAGCAAACGAGGGGGTGGCTTTGCCCTTGGTGTCTCTGTTGGTGTTTTACCAAAGCCATGTGGTCTCCCAGGCAGGGAGGGCCCTCTCACAGGGTGTGCAACTGCTCCTGGACCCAGAGCAGGGGGGTGCAGACCCTTGTCCGGGTGCCCAGGGGTTGGCACGGTGGCTCCTTTGCAGGTTTGGGATGTTCGAGTTCCTCAGCAACCAGATGAGAGACGAGCAGGGGCGGCTGGACAGCACGCGGGGCCTCATCTGCGGGCTGGGGGCTGGCGTGGCTGAGGCTGTGGCCGTGGTCTGCCCCATGGAGACTGTGAAGGTGGGTGGCTGTGGCTGCCACTGTCCCCTGCCTTGGCACCCCTCGCTGGGCTGGGAGGGGAAAAACCCAGAGATGCCCAACTTTTGGGAACCTGAGAGCTGCATGCATTTGCCCAAGAGAGTTTTGTAGGGATGGATCTGATGCTGGAAAGCTCTGTGGAGGTCAAGTCAGGTGGCCCTGGCCTCTTCCCCACTCCAGGGAGGAGCCCCAAACCAGGAGCCATCTTGTCACCCATTTTATGAGTGTAAGGCCCACATGGCTGCTTGCAGCAGCAGTTTCCCACGTTTTCCTCTGCAAGATGCCCTGCTGGCCATGGGCACAGGCTTCCCCCGTGATCTCTCCCAGAGCTGCCTGGCTGTGTGGCTTGGCTCTGGTCTTGGGACTGTCCCTGGAACAAGGCAGGAGGTGGCTGCCAGCCCTTGGGGCCATCACATCAGCCAGGACAAGCACATCATCTCCTTGTAGGTGAAGTTTATCCATGACCAGACCTCTCCCAACCCCAAATACCGTGGTTTCTTCCATGGCGTCCGGGAGATCGTTCGGGAACAGGGTGAGTCCCAGGAAAGTGGCACCCTGACTCCCTGAGTACTGCCATGCTGTGGGGACAGGCTGGGAGGTGGTGGATGGGCACAGGCTGGGACAGGTGGCCTGGGGAGATTTTTCTCTGCCACTTGAGGCTGGTCTCCCCTCCAACACCCTCTTCTTGCAGGACTGAGGGGGACCTACCAGGGCTTAACTGCAACCGTCCTGAAGCAAGGATCAAACCAGGCCATCCGCTTCTTCGTCATGACCTCCCTCAGGAACTGGTACAAAGGTATGGTGCCCTTGGCTCCCCAGGCCACCCTGGCTGTGCCTCTGGCTCCCTGGCCACCCTTGGGAGCTGGGATGGTTCTTCCTTCCACACACCCCCTGTTTCTCATGGCTCACTTGGAATGTGGAAGATGGATACTGGGGTGGGGTGGCACCAGCTTGTGGGGCTGATGGGTCCTGGTGCTGGAGTATCACTTTCACACCCACCCTGAGCCCCACAGTGTGGTGTGGGCTCTGTGGGGCGCGTGCTTCTGGACAGTCCCCATCTCAGCACTGCCTCCTGACCACAAGCAGCCAGACCTGGGACCTTTCTTGTGGGCTCCTTTGGGAATGTATGCAGGAATCCTGCCACCACTGTGCCCTGACCCTCTCTTCCTTCCCAGGGGACAATCCCAACAAGGTCATGAACCCCTTCGTAACAGGGGTGTTTGGAGCCCTTGCTGGAGCTGCGAGTGTCTTCGGCAACACCCCCTTGGATGTGGTGAAGACCAGGATGCAGGTACAGTGCCAGGGCCTACTGTGGGACTGCTCTGCCTGCAGCAGGCTGGGGACACCCACTGCCTGGGAGCTGTTTGCTGCAGTCCCTGGCGCAGGCACACAATGCCTGCAAGGTTTGGTGTGGGAGATGTCTGGGATTGCTCCTGAGCCATGGGGAGTGTTTGCATGGAGGTGGGGACATCCCTGTGGGGTCTGATGTCCTGCAGTTCCTCATGGCACACCCCCAGCTCTCTGCCTTGCCCCTGAACTCCCCCAGATGCAGCCCTGTCTGTGGCCTCTGATCCTGCTTTTCCCTTCCCACAGGGGCTGGAAGCGCACAAGTACAAGAACACCTGGGACTGTGCCTACCAGATCATGAAACATGAAGGGCCCCTGGCGTAAGCTCTGCAGTGGGGGTGGCTGGTGGGGAGGATGGGCAGGGAAGGGGCTGTGAGGGGACCCAGCCCCACGGTCCCCCTCTCTATTCCTGGCAGATTTTACAAGGGTACTGTGCCTCGCCTGGGCCGTGTGTGTCTTGATGTGGCCATCGTCTTCATCATCTACGATGAGGTGGTCAAATTCCTCAACAAGGTGTGGAAAACGGACTGAGGGGCCGGGCCAGGCAGCCCCCGCCTCCTGTGCCCCGCAGGGCTTCAGCTGGAGAGCAGAGACCAAACCCACACCCTCCTGCGGCACTGCTGGGGCCAGGTCTGCCCTGCACACCCCAAACCTGGCCACCTTTATCTTTAGGAACAGGCTCTGGAGCAGGTTAAATTACTAGTTGTGTGCTGAAAGGAGCAGGGAGGGAGCTGCATCCCACGATCCCAACCCCCAGTATCCTAGTCATGCCCACCCCAGTCTCCTGGTGACACTTTCCCCCAGCCCCACATCAGCTATGTGTACTGTTTAACCAGGCTGAGATGTCCCTTGGACAGCGGCCTTGGGGCTGCCAGGAGCTCCTGGCTGCCTCAGGAGCAGCTCTTTTGGGGGCACTGAGAGCCCCCTTGAGCCATGTGGGTGCAATGCCAAGCTGTACATCACAAGCTGTCAGTGGGGTGATACCATGGCAGGGTCACAGCAGCTCTTGGAGGGGGCCCAGCAGCCCTGCACCCCCTGGGATGGGAGAGCAGTGACCCTCTGGTGTGACCCCAAGCCCCCTCCTCCCTCCCTGCCAGCTCCAAGACCACCGGCGTGCAACATCCCATCCCATCCCAGGGATCCTGGGAGCAGCGGTTGCCCAAAATTGCACATGCAGCCAGGCCTTTAGTTCTGCTCACTGTGGGCTGGGGTTGGGGTGGGCCGGGTGCCCCCTCACCCGCCGTTTACAGCCGAGTCGTGCGTGCCAGCCGGGCCGAGGAGCTGCAGCCCCAGGCCGCAGGCTTGGCACCCTCGGCCGGGGGTGCCAACCCCTTTCTTCTGCCACATTCCCCCGTCTGCCCTCCCGCCGCGTTCCTGTGGTGCCGTAGGTGATCCCGTAGCTTTCGGAGCTTTAGAGCTTCACGCTGACTCACTAACACCCATGGCCGTGGGGCTGGAGCCCTGCCCTGCCCGTGCCAGGCTGGCCCCACTGGATTTGTGCCAAATTTCTCCCTGAGGGAGCTGGGGATGCAAGAGCCAGGGCTCAACCCATCCCTCCTCCCTCTTGTAGCCAGCGATGAGCTCAGCCTTAACACTGGAGGGTGAAGGAGGAAAGCCTGGGCACGGTTTACCTGCGGCTTTTGGCTCTGAAGCCAGTGAGGGTTGCATTAGTTTTTTTTTTATTGTTATTCTGTTTTACATTCGCAATCTGAATAAAATCAGTCTGGCTTTAGCGGCTGCGTTGGCGTCCAGCTGTGCTGAATGGGCAGTGAGTGGCTGCTGCCCTGTGGGTGGGGGACGGGGCTCCCCATCATGCCAAGGTGGTGCTCCTGGGGGAGCACCAGCTCCAGCCCAGCGGTGCCCGGTCACAGATGCTCCCAGGCAGGGCTGTGTTGTCTCGTACACAGTGCTTTATTAATAACCCTGGTTAATTGTATGAAGTCCTTGCCCTGCCGCGGAGCCGAGGGGCGGTGGAGCAGAAGGGAACGGGCTTTGTCCCCCCGCCCAGCCCGGGGGCGGTGCGGCACGGCCGGAGCTCCCCCCGCTCAGCCTCGTCAGTGTCCGCTGGAGCGGGGCAGAGCCACCATCCCGCGGGGCTGCGGGGCCATGCCCGGCCCGCTGCTCTGGGCGGGCTGGCTGCTGGCCGCCGGCTGCCTGGTCGGAGCCACGGGCAGCTGCCGGCACCGCTGCTGCCCCGGCAGGAACAACGCCTGCTGGGCCCCCGGCGCCCGCCGGGCTCGCTGCTACTGCGACTCGTACTGCCAGCGGACCGGAGACTGCTGCCAGGACTACCTCGCCACGTGTCGCCGTGCCGGTGAGTGCCCAGGGACACCGGCCTGTGCCGCTGTGCTCGGTGGCGAGCGCTTGCTGTTACCTGTTAGCCCCGTACTTTGATAACAGGTGTGTCTGGGGATGCTGACTGGGCTGGATTTGTAGCGATGTCCCAGCTGTCCCCTTTTTTCCACGCTGAATGTCTGTGGCTGGCCCCAGTGCAGTGGGAGAGCTCGAAGGGGTGGTTTCTGGTCTGCAGCTGATGGTAGCGCTGTCACTGCGAGCCTGAGAGGTCAAGCCCTGGTGTCACCTCTGCTACTGTCACAGGCAGTGCCTTGCACAGGGACAGGGGGACCGGGGGCTGTACTGAGGGTGCCAAACGGGGCTCATGGGCTCGGGGAGTGCAGAACCAGCCTGCCCTGGGACCCAGATCAGGGTAGGCAAGCGCCGGCCACGGCCCCCTGGACAATTGCAACAGTCAGCCCTTCCTAATCTCCGGGGGGATTAGCAGGGTCCCAGCTCAGCGCGATGCACACAGGGATGAAGTCCTGCGGAAGCAGCTGACAAAGCCCCTGCACTGGCAGGGGTCAGGGGACAGGGGCTGCTGGGGTCACTCTGGCCTCCCTCCCCTCTCCCCATCCCGGGTGCTGCATGTCCCTGCTCTGCTCTTTCCACGTTCATCACACTGAAGCTCTTTCTTTCCCCTCTCCCCCATGCCTGGCAGCGGTGGGCTGTGCTGTGGGGCCCTGGGGGCCGTGGAGCGGGTGCAGCTCCCCGTGCGGGGTCGGCAGCAGGGCCCGCAGCCGCCAGGTCACGGTGCCGCCGCGGCTCGGCGGGGATCCCTGTCCCGACCTCCAGCAGCGCCGCGGCTGCCTGGGGCAGCAGCCGACCTGCGGCACGGCCGAAGGTAACCGCGCTGCCTGCTGCCCTCCTGCCAGCCCGTCCCCGTGTGCTGCCGTCCCGGCGTGTCTTTAATCGTCCCCGTGCCCCTCACAGCTGCTCTTCTGCCTGCGGTAGCCAAGATACTCCCCAGCTCCTTCAGCCAGGCCTTCAGAGATCCCTGGCGAAGAGCGGGGCTGCCGCTGCCGGAGGAGCCCTCTGGGTATGTGCGGGGTCGGGGCCCCTCTGTAACCCCCGTCCCCAAACCGGGACCCTCCTGCACCCCCTGCGCTCATGGCCCCTTTGCACCCGCAGGCCCAGGGCCTTTCTGCTCCCCCCAGCCATTACTTTTCTCCCTCCCCCATACAAAACCACGGCCCTCTGCATGCCCCACAGAACCACATCCTTCCTGCCTTCCAAACTAGGGTCCCTCTGCACCCCCTCAGAGCCACTTCCCTTCCCACCTCCCCAACCCAGGCCCCTCTGCCACTCCCCAAACCCATATCCCCTTAAACCCCAATCCATCAAGAAACCACCGCCACCTCTGCCCTACCTTCCGACCACCATTTCCCTCTTTTCTCCTCCGTGTTCCCCCTCCCCAGCTCCCCCCTCCCCGGCTACTGCGGCTATTTCCGCCTGGCGCGGGTGGGACCCCGGTGCCGCGGGCTGCAGCGGGACATGCGGGTGTGCGTGCAGTGCTGGGGGAACCCGTCCCAACGCCCACCCCGCTGCACTGGACACGGCCTGCAAGGAGCCAGGTGCGTGCTAATCTGTGCCGTCCCCACCACGGCATCTCTCCTAAGGAACATCTCTCCCTGTCTCTGACATTCTCCTTTTATATTCTAATTGTAATATTTGTATACAAAGCTATAATTATGTTAAAATATGCCACAATGGTATAGTATGCCATAATATTATTAAATGAATCAATAATACGTCCTATAAGCAGAGATTATATTATAAAAATAAACATATTTAAATAGAATAGAATATCTCTGTTGGGACAATGATCATCTAGTCCAACTGCCATTATTATATATATAATATAAATGCATATATAAAACTGTATTTGATTTTTTAAAATTGTATTTATTAACGGCGCATCCTACTTGTCACTGATTTTCCCTTCTAGGACATTTTGGGTGGCAGCTTCTGTAGTGGGGTGCCAGGGCTCGTGGGTGCAGGAGAGCCTGCAGGAGGGCTGTGTCTGCTCCCCACCAGCTCTCATCTTCGTGTAGGATCCCCCTGGGAAGGTGAGCTGAGCCTCCCCATGGCACCACTCCCTGTTGGGGAGGTGGGGAATTAAATAAAAATGTGGTCTCTTTCATAATTTCACCCTACTGCAGGTTTGCTGTTCACCCTTGGTGCCAGCTCCCTGTTTTCCATTAAATACTTTGCTGAAGAATGGAAAAACCCTTCTTATAAAGACTAAAAATAAGGGAATTGCTGAAGTGTGATGATTAATGGTAGAAGAACAGCATGATGAGGTTAAGGCTGGGTGAGCAGATGATGTCATGCTCAGCCATGACATCATGCTTTCAAAGAGCTGCAACTGGCAAGCAGCATGAGGATGGAGGCAGCATCCCTCCTCTCGTCTGAGCTCACTCACTGCAGCACCAGGTGAGCCATGCAGGGCAGCTCAGCCCTGCTTTGCAGAGAGGAATTAAAGACACCCAAAGTCTGCACACGGACGATGGTGCCAGTGCCCAGTTCCAGCCGTGGGGCTCAGCAGCTCCCACTGGAAGGAGTGAGGCTGGGCTGGGTGCTGCTGCTGCCCTTCCCCAGTCCTTGCCCAGTATGACACGAGCTTGCTGGAGGGGTCCCTGCTCTGGCTTTGGATGCTGCTACCACAGCCTGTGGTGGGAGCATGTGCCATGCCAGGGCTGGATCTTGCTCCACTGCAGGCAGTGGCTGTTGTCTGTTTGCTGCCCCAGGTCATGTTTGGCTCCTGCAGCCTGCTCTCACACCACCCTCCTGGGCAGGGGAATTAAAAGTCTTGAACACTAGGAATGTTCCTGGCCTCTTTATTTGGGATAAAAGCCCAGGTCAGCCAAGGACCAAAGTGCTGGTTAAAAAACAGGTGGTGGCAGGTGAGCAGGAGTGGGTGTGAGAGTTCTGGAGCACAGGTCCCCTCCTGCCAGCCAGAGCTGAGGGCAAGGAAGCCACGGACACAGGCCAAGGCAATGCTGCACTGGAGTACTCAGCTGCAGGGTTAGAAACTGGGAACAGAACTGAGTGTGTCCCACACTGTGAGTGGGTTCCCCTGAGTTACACCACCACACCTGCAGGCCTGGCTGCTGGTCAGAGAGCACCCAGGAAATGGAGGGAGATGGCTGCAGGATTTCGTGTCACACTGCTGCATGCCTGGAGCTGTCAGTCCCCCAACAGTGGTCCCAGCTCTCCTGGTGCATTGTCCTGCTTTGGCACAGGGGCCAGCCCGTGCTGCACCAGCAGCCCCTGTACCAGCTCCAGCTCCTGCTCCAGCTCCTGGGAGCCACAGTCCAGGCCTGGCGTGGTGGTAGCACCTTCCCCCAGCACCTGCAGGACCCGCGCCACCAGCCGGGCCCTCACCAGCAGCACGGCCAGGGCTGTGTGGAGTTTGGCACAGCCCAGCGCCTTCATCCCCCAGGGGACAGGAGTTCCTGTGGAGAGAGCGGGGAAGGAGCCGTGAGTGTGGCAGGGTCCCCCTGGGCAGAGCTGGCCTGGGGAACAAGGACACTGTTTGCTTGTGCCAGGCACTCCACGCTCACCATACCTTGGCTCCAGCAGTGTTTGGAGTACTGCAGGTCCCTCAGCACACTGGGGCCTGTGGCTTCCAGCCACTGCAGAGCTGAGGCATGGACTGGGCTGCCAGTGGGAGCCTTCTCCAGGAGCTGCACCAGGACAGGGAGCAGCTGCTGTGCCAGGACAGCTGGCTCTGCAAAAACGTTGGGTTCATCCTCCTTGTACAGGCTGGCAGCTCTGGGGGGAAAGCAGAGGTGTGAGTGAAGCCAAGGGCTGGCCCCGTGGTATCCCACATCCCTCGTGCCAGTCCACAGATCCAGCAACTCACTTGTTGGCCTGCAGCTCCTCCACAATGCTCCTGAGATCTAAGATGGGGATATGCTGAAGTAGTGAGTTGAAGGTCTCAGGGTGCTCCCTGAACTCTCCCAGAAGGAGCTCTAGGAGGCTCTGGAGCCCCACATTGTCCTGCACAAAGATGCAGCCATCTTGGAGCAGCTCCCCTGGGCTCTGCCGCAGGCGGCTGGCGAAACCTGCGGCCTCATGCCGGACCTCCCGCTCCTCATCTTGCAGAAGGTGAATGGCCATGTTTATCAGCCTGAGGAAAGGGAAGAGAAGGGAAGGGAAGCATACTGCATGACCCAAAGCATCCCAGCCTGCCTGGAGGGGAGGATGAGACCTCAGAATGCTTCTCTGAGGGGCTTTTTTCCTGGACCGTGAAAGACACTGTCACCACCCAAGAGCTTGGGAGGGTAGGGGCTGTGCTGGGGATTGAGGGGCTCAGCAATGCCATCTGCTGCTCACAAGGGACTGGCTGCTTGTATTAAAATGCCACCCACACGCTTTTTGTAGGCTGTGAGCTCGAGCGCCACTGATTTTTGAACGAGTTGGGTTTTCTTCAACACCCTTGAGTTTTTGCAGGGGGCACCTTTTGCAGAGCCCATTAACCTGCAGCAGGCTGGGGCTGCAGTGCTGCAAGCACAGCCATCCCCAGCTGAGGGACCTACCGCAGAGCCAGGGGGGCGAGCGGGGGCCGGGCAGCACGCAGGGATGGCTGCAGCACGTGGGGCCCTGCCAGCTGCAGGGAGCGGGCGGCCGCCAGCCGCAGCACCTCGCAGCAGCTGGGCCGGCTGCGCTCCTCCAGCGCCGCGCACCAGCGCTCCAGCAGCCCAACGTCCTCCTCCCCACACCTGCCAAGGAAGGAGAGAGAATTCAAGCACACCTTGCTGCTCCATTAGGCGACCAAAGGCTACTGGCTGCCCTGAGATTGCAGGAGCCAGGTGCCACGCTGTGATTTATGGGAGGGAAGCTGTGGCTGCTTCTAGTAAGGACTAAGGAAGAATCTGCTGGAAGAGCTGGGCAGCACCCCAGCAGCAGCAAGGACCTACTGGTGGGCAAGCAGCAGGCTGGCAGCACACAGTGCCTGGAAGAGGAGATCAGGCCCAGGACACTCAGCCTCCACCATGTGCAGCAGCATCTCCAGGCATGATCTTGAGGAGCCCTGGAGCTTACTGGAAGCTTCCTGGGACCATGACGAGGGATCTCTGTAAAGATGCAGCAAAGCCTCAAGGTACAATCTCAGGAACTCTTTGTCCCTTCTCTCTTGCAGCACCGACTGCAAGCTCTCCTAGTTGACAATGGGAAAGAAGGTACGTGGTTAGTGGTCCTAGCACTGCAGGACCAGGCAAGTGCCCTGCACCCTCAGCCTGGGGAACACCAAGCTTCTCAGCAATGGGATCTCAGGGTCCCATCTGCATGGTACACTGGGGCCCCCCCGCTTTACTTGGTGACTTTTGAGCCCCATCATACCAGCAATGTCAGCCCAAGAGCGTTCTCCACCTCCTTGCACGTTCCTCCCTCCCTAGCAATCACCCAGCTCAGGATGGCAAGCTGGATGTCGGGGTTGGGCTGCTGGAGAAGTGAGCAGACAGCAGCAATCCGCTCACTGTCCGCCAGCCGGGCTGCCTCGCTGCACATGAAGTGGGCCATGGTTTGGTGGAGGATGGCTGAGCCCACCTGCAGGAAAAAAACAGGATTCCCCTTCCAGGGCTCAGCCTGGAGCGATGGCTCCCCCTGTCCCCGCCCAGGCTCACTGCCAGTCAGGCACGGCCGTGACTTTCCTGGCAGGAAGCAGTACCTGTGGCTCGGCACAGCCTGCCTTTCCCCCCTGCAGGAGGCTGCCCAGCTCGGTGCTGATGGTGTCATGGATGTACTGGGCGAAGCCAGGGCTGAAGGATGTGGGCAGCAGGGCGAGGACCTGGAGGAAGGCGGCGCGGACAAGGGGGCAGCGCTGGGCAGGGGTGAGCAGCCAGCCCCGCGCCTCCAGCTGCAGAGCCACGGGGTGCAGAGCCTCAGCCGACAGCCTGCATGGAGACACAGCCTCACCACGGGGCAAGCACCGAGGCAGGCGCCCTTCTGTGGCCAAAAGACTGCGTTTGGCACAGAGTGACCCCAGCTGGGGAGACAGCGTGGCAGCACTCACCCCGCAGTGCCCGTCGCAGGGCCCAGCAGTGCCTGCATCTGCAGCAGGTGCCCGTGGACAGCGTTGTGCGAGCGGATCTGCCCGGGTGCTGCAGGGAGCTGCTGGGCCAGCTGCAGGAGGAGGCTGCAGCGCTGGGGAGGGGCAACAACAGGCACCAGAGCCTTGGCAGCCATCGCTCGTACAGCGTAGATGGGGCTCTCTGCCAGCCCCAGCAGTGGCCCCAGGAAGGGAGCAGAGGGACTGTGGAGCAAAAAGGGCACCGTGTGGTGATGCTCTGGCTGGAGTAAAATCTCACAAGAGCCAGGGCCAGCCTCAGCACCATGGGAGCCCTTCCTACTGCAGGAGCCCTTGGCTAAGGCACAGCATCCCCACTGCCCCCATACCTGCCGGGGCTGTCAGCACCAGGCTGCAGCTGGGCCAAGAGGGTGAGGATGGCGTGGAGTGCAGGGTGCAGGCGGGGCCCCCCTGAAGTGGGTGCTGTGGCCACCTTGAGCTCTCCGAGCAGCACAGCACCCAGCTTTGGGTGCTGCCCGAGGAAGGCGTGCAGGCTCAGCCCCTCTGATGGGCAGCCATCCTTGTGGCTCCCTGGCTGTCCCAGCAGCCGGGATGTGAGGGCACCTGCAGGGACAGAGAAGGCAATCTCAGGTCCCATCCAATGCTGCTAACCCCCTGCACTTCACCCCACGCAGGCTCCGAACCCTGGGGGCAGTGGGATCTCTCTTTGTCAGTACTCACTGAAGAGCTGGATGGCTGCATTCCTCATGGCCCAGCAGGGCGAGCCCAGGCCCCGCAGTGCCAGGGCCATCATGGGTGTGGCGTGGCACAGCACGGCCCCGCCCAGCCCCGCCCCGCGCACCAGCGTCTGCAGCACGTGGAGGGCACACACCTGGGGAGAGCACGCGGGGCTCAGTGGCACCAGGTCACCAGGGGCTCATGCTGCCATATCAGGGAAAGGGGGTGGGAAAAGACAGGGGAGCCAAAAGGCCATCAGCTCCCAGAGTGCCAGGCTGGACAGCGTGACCAGAGCTGTGGGTTTTTGCTCACTCTGAGTTCTCATGGTCTCACACTGGGTACCTGGCACAGCTCAGGGGACCCAGCACAGATCACCGTGTCCCCAAAGGGGCTCCAGGCCAGGAGCACCACACTGACCTGCGGGAGGTCGAGGGTCTGGTCCCAGTCCTGTGGCAGTGCCGTGGCAGCCAAGGTCAGCAGTGTCTGGATGCAGCGGGTCAGGAGCGGCCGTGCCAGCGCCGGGGCCTCCCCGCTGACGATGCAGAGGAAGAGCATGGGGAAGCCAGCAGCACGGCGCGTGATCGAGCTGCTCCGGGGCCCACTCAGTGCTTCCAAGCCCTGACAGAGACACAAAATCCACCTGAGATGTGGCTGGACACCTGTCACCTGCAGCTGCCCTGCCAGGAGGGCACCAGCATCTCAGCTGCCAGGAGGGTGCTTGCCCCAGGGAGTGCAGAAATGCCTCTGGAGCTCCCTGGGGCACACAGGACACAAGCAGCACAGTGAGTACTGTACCTGCTCCAGCACAGCCCGTGGGATGGCCTGCAGCTCCGGATCCGGGTGGTTCAGCAGCGCAGCACAGAACTTGGTGAAGCCCATGCTGCAGCCCTCCACTGCTCCCTGGGGCAGAGCAGTGTCAGCACGAGCACCC